GAGGAGAACAAGTAGAGGTTTGAGGACTGTACCTTGTGGTACCCCCGAGTCCACGGATAGAGGAGGAGAACAAGTAGAGGTTTGAGGACTGTACCTTGTGGTACCCCCGAGTCCACGGATAGAGGAGGAGAACAAGTAGAGGTTTGAGGACTGTACCTTGTGGTACCCCCGAGTCCACGGATAGAGGAGGAGAACAAGTAGAGGTTTGAGGACTGTACCTTGTGGTACCCCCGAGTCCACGGATAGAGGAGGAGAACAAGTAGAGGTTTGAGGACTGTACCTTGTGGTACCCCCGAGTCCACGGATAGAGGAGGAGAACAAGTAGAGGTTTGAGGACTGTACCTTGTGGTACCCCCGAGTCCACGGATAGAGGAGGAGAACAAGTAGAGGTTTGAGGACTGTACCTTGTGGTACCCCCGAGTCCACGGATAGAGGAGGAGAACAAGTAGAGGTTTGAGGACTGTACCTTGTGGTACCCCCGAGTCCACGGATAGAGGAGGAGAACAAGTAGAGGTTTGAGGACTGTACCTTGTGGTACCCCCGAGTCCACGGATAGAGGAGGAGAACAAGTAGAGGTTTGAGGACTGTACCTTGTGGTACCCCCGAGTCCACGGATAGAGGAGGAGAACAAGTAGAGGTTTGAGGACTGTACCTTGTGGTACCCCCGAGTCCACGGATAGAGGAGGAGAACAAGTAGAGGTTTGAGGACTGTACCTTGTGGTACCCCCGAGTCCACGGATAGAGGAGGAGAACAAGTAGAGGTTTGAGGACTGTACCTTGTGGTACCCCCGAGTCCACGGATAGAGGAGGAGAACAAGTAGAGGTTTGAGGACTGTACCTTGTGGTACCCCCGAGTCCACGGATAGAGGAGGAGAACAAGTAGAGGTTTGAGGACTGTACCTTGTGGTACCCCCCGAGTCCACAGATAGAGGAGGAGAACAAGTAGAGGTTTGAGGACTGTACCTTGTGGTACCCCCCGAGTCCACAGATAGAGGAGGAGAACAAGTAGAGGTTTGAGGACTGTACCTTGTGGTACCCCCGAGTCCACGGATGGAGGAGGAGAACAAGTAGAGGTCCGAGGACTGTACCTTGTGGTACCCCCCCGAGTCCACAGATAGAGGAGGAGAACAAGTAGAGGTTTGAGGACTGTACCTTGTGGTACCCCCGAGTCCACAGATAGAGGAGGAGAACAAGTAGAGGTTCGAGGACTGTACCTTGTGGTACCCCCGAGTCCACGGATAGAGGAGAACAAGTAGAGGTTTGAGGACGGTACCTTGTGGTACCCCCGAGTCCACAGATAGAGGAGGAGAACAGATATTGCTGAGAAGTACTCGTTGTTGTCGGTTATGTAAGAATGATGATATCACAAGAAGGGAGTTGTTATGGATTACATAGTAGTCAAGTTTGTGAAGTTATCGTTGCCGGTGGTCAACTCAGTCCAGTACAGTGGTACCTGTGACCAACCCTTGTTTCAAGTTCTGAGTGATGCTTGGCAAGGGGATACCGAACCTGGGTTATAAATAGGGTTGTCTTCAGAGGATAAGTTTCAGAAAAAGGGAGGAGGAATGTAGCAGAACTGGACTGGGTCGATCGCCGGCTGTCTATGGTTTTCCTAAAAGACAACAATTCAGTTTGTTAAATTTCAGCAATATTTTTCAATTTATTTATTTTGTTAAACATTCACAACAGTACATGTAAGTATAAGTGTTTTACCAACAGTCCGACAGACCGTAACTATCCCAAGTATCACAGTATCAGTGGCAAGATTCTGTAAACAGTCCGACACAGCCAGGACGGACTTGTTTAATAATGTGATATTGTGACGACAAAATAAAAGCTGTAAGGTTCTAACATATAATAGATACAGCAGGCCAGAACTATTGGGGAACATTAACTACATGATTTCTCTACTAAAATCTGTAGATATACAGTAGTTGTCATAAATTGGTTATTATGCTTAGTATCAGGAAAAAATATAGTAAATGTAGAATGGGCGAATTAAGTTTCCATTCTGACAGAATTGATGTGGACTATTGACAGTCGCCAAACTAATACTCCTCAGAATTCTTCACAAAAACACAAACATTTCTCAGCACTGCATTAAGTGCAATACAGTCAATAAAAACAAAATCAAAATAAATTTGCTAAATGTTCACCTCCAAACGTTTATTTTCCTCAAAATATGGCACATCTATGCCTCCTGATGTCTATTCTCCCTTAAAACTTTGGCTAGATGACCTAATAACCATGATCTCTAAAGCAACAGGTGACAGTCTAAAAAATGACACCCCAAAGGAAAGGAGTTGTCTGGTACATATAATGGAGCATTGTAATTCAAAACCTGCTCACAAGCTACACTAAGGAATGGGGTGGAGGTTAGGGACACACAAGACTATAGGGACATTTCCACAGAAAAGGAATGGGGTGGAGGTTAGGGTCATACAAGACTGGGACATTTCCACAGAAAAGGAATGGGGTGGAGGTTAGGGTCATACAAGACCGGGACATTTCCACAGAAAAGGAATCTGTACCTTTAAAAAGGAGAAAATTGGCCCATGTATTAATGCTCAAAAAGTAAATGAAAGCATACTTTTATTATATATGTAATAAGTTGCAACAAGTACAACAGAAAATAAATTTTATAGATACTCTTCTCAGAGACGTATTATACGTCTCTGCTCTTCTATAGTAAAAAGACTTGCATTTTGATTTCAAAAATACTAGGCAGTATTTTCTCAAGAGATTGATTAAATTATAATTGTTTTTTCTCTCTCACATAATTTCAAAAAATATTTTATTCATAATTGTGCATCTGCGGATCATGTCACAATCGATATTTAGAAAATATCTCAATTTAAAGACGCGGATGGTGTAAATTTCATACAGCAAAATATTTTAAAGTTGATAGGATTTTAGTTAAATAACACCTTTTACATATCCCTCTGCTCATGATCACATAACCTGGAATTTGAAAACAAATATTCAGTATTTAAAAAAAAAATAAATTCTTTGACAATCTAAACTTTTCCCATTTTTCTTGCGAAGCATTATTTAACGAAGCACTACAGTATATGTAAATCATGAAAATAAATATGAAAAAACAAATGAAAATGACATTGCACGCTATATAAAATCAAAATAATATTTTATATAATTAAATTAAATTAAAGCGCCTTAGAGTAATTTTACAAATTATATAGGGTGCTATATAAATGTTGTATATTATTATTATTATTATTTAAACTAAAACATCATTACATATAAAATAATTTGCCATAAAATAACTAAGAAAAAGCACAAACAGAAACAAATAACTAAGAAAAAGTATAAACAGAAACAAAAAGTCAAACAAGCTAATAGGTCCCTACTAATAAACAACACATACAGCCGAGTAACTCCTTACATTTGTGAAAGAATACACAAGTTTGTACGTCCAATATTTCGCCATTTAATAAATGGAAGGACAAAGATGTCAGTCAGACTGAGCTGGGTGACCAACAAGTGATGTCATTGGGGTCAGACTAGAGGTCAAACTTGGGAGCTCCAAACTCTAAATTAATGCACTATTCAGCTTCCTGGTCTAGAGAAGTCACCCGGCCCAGGCCCTCTATATCAGCCCACCCGGCCCAGGCCCTCTATATCAGCCCACCTGGCCCAGGTCCTCTATATCAGCCCACCTGGCCAAGGTCCTCTATATCAGCCCACCCAGCCCAGGCCCTCTATATCAGCCCACCCAGCCCAGGCCCTCTATATCAGCCCACCCCGCCCAGGTCCTCTATATCAGCCCACCCGGCCCAGGTCCTCTATATCAGCCCACCTGGCCCAGTTCCTCTATATCAGCCCACCCGGCCTAGGTCCTCTATATCAGCCCACCCCGCCCAGGTCCTCTATATCAGCCCAACCCGCCCAGGTCCTCTTTATCAGCCCACCCAGCCCAGGCCCTCTATATCAGCCCACCCAGCCCAGGTCCTCTATATCAGCCCACCTGGCCCAGGTCCTCTATATCAGCCCACCTGGCCCAGGTCCTCTATATCAGCCCACCCGGCCTAGGTCCTCTATATCAGCCCAACCCGCCCAGGTCCTCTTTATCAGCCCACCCCGCCCAGGTCCTCTACATCAGCCCACCCCACCCAGGTCCTCTACATCAGCCACCAAGCCCAGGTCCTCTACATCAGCCCACCCGGCCCAGGTCCTCTACATCAGCCCATCCCTCCCAGGTCCTCTACACCATTGAACAAGAGGCCCAGAGGGCCTGTATCGCTCACCTGTTTCTTGTGTTACATGCAACTGACATATAGGTAACTTAAGACCATTTGGTAACTAGAACACAAGACATTTTAACATCTCTTAAACGGTTCTGACGGTTCTGAAGATATTTTTGTTTGAAACTTTAAATTTTAATTTTAAAGCTTTTAACCAAAGTTGACATTTGAATCCCGATTTGCACTTAAAGTTGACCTTTGACCTCATAACTGTAACTGAGAAAAATATTCGAACTGCTGGTCTACATAACATACCCAAGTATCATGACTCTAGTTCAAATGGTTCTTAGGATATTGTTGTTTGAAATATTTAACATATTTGATCCCTGTGACCTTCAAAGCAGGTCTAGGTTTTTTTAATGAGGAAACTTTATAGCACCACATCCCAGGTACTTACTTGCTAAATATCATGACCCTGGGCCTTATGGAACTTGGGAAGAAGACTGTTAAAGCTTTTAACCAAAGTTGACATTTGACCCCAAACTAGCACTTAAAGTTGACCTTTGACCTCATATACGTAACCAAAAAAAATATTCGAACTGCTGGTCTACATAACATACCCAAGTATCATGACTCTAGTTCAAATGGTTCTTAGGATATTGTTGTTTGAAATTTTTAACATATTTGACCGCTGTGACCTTGAAAGTAGGTCAAGGTCATTTTAATGTGGAAACTTTATAGCACTCCATCCCAGGTACCTACTGACCAAATATCATGACCCTCGTTCAAAAGAAAAAGTTGACAGACGGACGATGGACGACGCAGTACGGCATAAGCTCACATGGCCCTTCGGGCCAGGTGAGCTAATAAAAGGAAGATTTCAAACTGTAAAATCAAATGCCAATTAGTAAACAGCAAACATGCTTTAATGCCTTTCATTCCAATATGTAAACATAGATTTTAAAGTAAAATTTTACTGCATGTTCAATTTGTATTCACTGTTATCACAGACGTGACACTATTTATAGACCGTGACACTATTTATAGAACGTAACACTATTTATAGACACTTGTATAGGAATACAATCCTTACTTCAATGAACCAAAAATGACACAACATATTTGAGCGTGGATTTGTATATTGAATAGAAAAGCAAAGGGATTTGTAATGTAAAAATAAAAATAAGATCAAAGGAATGATACACACATCCTTACAACAGTAACTCACATGGCTTTCTAATTTTACCAGGAAACACGATTTTATTGCATGAGTTCTCTTCCCCTTGTAACTTTTGTACAAAACTGATCAAATGAAGATAACACCAGGTTAACATAGAAATCTTAACACCTATTTACCATAAAAACAAACATAAATAAGCAGTCTGCTATTTTAGCAGTAAATCTCATGGTGCACTCTATATGCCAACATTGGCAGGCTGAATTATTTACATGACATTTTTTTTTTTTTAAATTTAAATCAGATTTGTGAATAAAGCACTAAAAGGTGGTGTCCCAAACAGAAGTAAACTATACATGTACAGTAAATCGTCTGGCAATTTAAGACACTTTCAAAGGCGTAGCTTAATATACAGGTCAGTCAGAAGCTTCAATGTTAAAGTGACATACATCCTGACATAAAAAGAATCAAATTATCATGTTTTTCTGCGTGCTGTGACTTGGTCAATGTTCTGTTACAGCTGATGAGATAATGTCAGTGTAGCTACTGGCTACTGAATTCTGACTAGACACAGCATTAGGTGGCAGCACTTTGGCATACAGCACTCATTTGCTCACTGGCTGGCAGCATTCGTTTGCTCACTAGGTGGCAGCACTTGTTTGCTCACTAGGTGGCAGCACTTGTTTGCTCACTAGGTGGCAGGATAATTATATAAATAGTTACAATGTTCTGTGATTACTTTCCTCTCATCATGGTTTCCTTGATCTTATTGGCAATCCACTGAAACAGAGAACACACAATTCTATTTTATCTAAATAACTTGAGTATGCAAAGCTATCAACCTTCTCAATGGCTAAGTATGTTAGGAGCACATCTCTAAAAGTCGGTAAGGTACTGAAAGTTTTATTTTATTAACCACAAAAACAACAGTCAAAGGTTCAAAACATTTTTTTATCACTTCAGGTATTTTTATTTATTACCTCAGCTTGTCTCTGGTCTCCAATGGCAACCTCCTTCTTGGCTGTACTACTGCTGAAGAGAAACTTCTTCTTTTCTTTCTCCTGGTAAAAGTTGAAGAAAAAAAAATAACATTCAATTTTCATCATCACTAAAACTGCATTCATGTAAATATCCAAATATATGATGTTTCATCATCAATTCTATTATATTTCCATGTTGAAAGTCTTTAGACCTTCTGTTAAGTAAGGTGTAGAAGTACGACCTTGACCTTCCCTGTAGAAGTGAGATTTTCATGTTAACTTTGCAATTGTCCTTGTTACTATTGCCCTGGTTACTAACATTCTAGTTAATATCGTCCTGGTTACTAATAATACTATCACCCTATTGTCCTGGTTACTATCGTCCTGGTTATTATCACCCTATTGTCCTGGTTACTATTGTCCAGGTAACTATAGCCATGGTTACTATTGTCTTAGTTACTATCACCCTGGTTACTATTGCCCTGGTTACTGTTGTTCAGGTTACTATTGCCCTGGTTACTATTGTCCTGGTTACTATTGCCCTGGTTACTATCATCCTTGTTACTATGGTCATGGTTGCTATCGTCCTGGTTACTATTGTCCAGGTTACTATTGCCCGGGTTATTATCGTCCTGGTTACTATTGTCCGGCCCGTATTATCGTTCTGGTTATTGTCGTCCTGGTTACGATCAATGTGGTAACTATTGTCCAGATTAATATTGCCTTGGTTACTATCATCCTGGTTACTATGGTCCTGGTTACTATCGTCCTGGTTACTATTGTCCAGGTTACTATCACCCTGGTTATTATCGTCCTGGTTACTATCACCCTGGTTACTATTGCCCTGGTTATTATCGTCCAGGTTACCATCAATGTGGTCACTATTGTCCTGGTTACTATTGTCCTGGTTACTATCACCCTAGTTACTATCACTCTGGTTACTATTGTCCAGGTTACTATCACCCTAGTTACTATTGCCCTGGTTATTATCGTCCAGGTTACCATCATTTAGGTTACTATTGTCCTGGTTACTATCACCCTGTTTACTATTACCCTGGTTACTATTGTCCTGGTTTCTATCATCCTGGTTACTATTGTCCTGGTTACTATCACCCTATTTACTATCACTCTGGTTACTATCACCCCAGTTACTATTGCCCTGGTTATTATCGTCCAGGTTACTATTGTCCTGGTTACTACTGTCCAGGTTACTATTGTCCTGGTTACTATTGTCCTGGTTACTATCACCCTGGTTACTATCCCTCTGGTTACTCAGTATATAAACCACTCGAAGGCCTTTACAACTATGAGTAGTATTTGATACTAGCATTTCTGGAATTGCAGAAGAAGATTTTTGAAATTCGCCTCCTTTTTTTTCCCCTAGGGGGTCAGGGTCACAAAAATACCAGCAGACCTTCCTCCCCTAACAAGTATTTCCGTCAAATATGAGCAAACTCCATTCAAAACATTGGAAGATATGGCCTATTATGTATATTTCCTATATAAACTATACTAAATTTCACCCCCTCACCAGGGGCTAACGGGGGCCCTGGGAGACATAACAAGAGATCCCGGCGCCCACCTTTGTACCAACTTCATTAGTTCTTTGTCAGTTTGATCTTTTCTCTTCTTTCCTCTAATCTGTTTGATCAAGTCATGTTAACAGTAAATGCATGCACCTTGAGGTAACCTTTGATCTAAACTTAATACTGATGTGTATGAAAGCCAACCTTCAAAGTGAGTTTGTCATTTCACATATTTACTAGTATAGTACTTACTGTGAAAGAAATAAAATCGATCATTGCAATATAAGAAAGATCTGTTTAGTTCTTCTTTTAATCCATTTTGTTTTTATGATCAGTCTCAAAATATAACATGCAAAACGAGAGATCAAGGGGAACCTACATATAAAATTTGAGAAAGATCCCTCTGGTACTTCCGGAGAAATAGCGATAACAAACTTTCACTATCAAAATCCAAGATGGCTGCCTGTCGGCCATGTTGTTTATCCGATCAGTCTCTAAAATTGCCCTGCACAGCTAGGACCAAGGGGAACCTACATATAAAATTTAAGAAAGGTCCCTAAAGTTCTTCCGGAGAAATAGCGGTGACAAACCTACATTATCAAAATCCAAGATGGCTGCCTGTCGGCCATGTTGTTTATCTGATCAGTCTCAAAAGTTACTCTGCACAGCTAAGGACCAAGGGGAATCTACATATAAAATTTGAGAAAGATCCCTCTGATACTTCCTGAGAAATAGCAATAACAAACTTTCAATATCCAAATCCAAGATGGCTGCCTGTCGGTCATGTTGATCAGTCTCAAAAGTTGCCCTGCACAGCTGAGGACTAAGGGGAACCTACATATAAAATTTGAGAAAGATCCCTCTGGTACTTCTTGAGAAATAGCGATAACAAACTTTCACCATCAAAATCCAAGATGGCTGCCTGGAGACATGAAAATCATAATTTCATAAACCACCCAAAGGCCTTTACATGAGTAGTATTTGGTTTTAGCAATTCTGGAAATGGAGAAGAAGATTTTTTAATTTGTTCTAAATTTTCCCCTTTTTGGCCCCTAACTAAACCCCCTAGTGGGCCACACCCTTATTTCATAAATCCATTGAGCCCCTGGTCCCAAGGATGCTTCATATCAAATTTAGTTAAAATACAATCAGTAGTTCAGGAGATAAAGGCTTTTAAAGGGAAAAGTTGACGCCGGACGCCGCAGCAGGGCATAGGTTCACTTGCCCTTTGGGCAGGTGAGCTATAAAGAGTTCAGCAAAAACGGTACATGACCATAAGTGCATAAATTTTGGAGAGATAAGCATCAAATCTACAAAGGGCCATAAGTGCATAAATAAGTGGCAAATAATTTTGGTTATCAAGCTTGTCCGAGCTTGCATGGCAATGAACCTTCCTACCAAGTTTGAAATTAGTCCATTCAAAATTACTCATGTTATTGAGCGGAAACTGTTTTGGCAATTCTACAAAGGACCATAACTCCGTACATAACTGGCAAATAGTTTTGGTTATCGAACATGTCCGAGCTTTCATGGCAATGAACCATCCTAATAAGTTTGAAATGAATCCATTCAACATTACTCAAGTTATTGAGCGGAAACTGATGTGTGCTAGACCTGGACTTTGATCACATCTGCAGGAGGTCTGTCCTCATGATGACAGATTAAATAACATCCTGTGTATCTTTTGCTTCTCTTCCTTGATCTTGATGAGAACTTAATGGTTGAGGAAGATTTCAATGACGTTCACCTAACCATGATGTAGATTATAATATTTGACCATACCTTGAGGCAGATTTCAATGACGTTTATTTGACCATACCTTGAGGTAGATTTCAATGACGTTTATTTGACCATAACTTGAGGTAGATTTCAATGACGTTTATTTGACCATACTTTGAGGTAGATTTCAATGACGTTTATTTGACCATACCTTGAGGTAGATTATAATATTTGACAATACCTTGAGGTAGATTTCAATGCCGTTTATTTGACCATACCTTGAGGTAGATTTCAATGCCCTTTTGTGACCTCTTGGGTGGCTCCTTCATTTCAACCCAGGTATAGGTCCAGTCAGCGTCCCAGTGTCCGAACAGTTCTCCACGTACAGCAAACACCACCCGCCTGAAACCGTGATACACAAACATCAATACAAAGACAAGACCTTAAACCGCCAATATCAAACAGTTCTCAACGTACAGCAAAGACCACCCGCCTGAAACCGTGATACACATAGATCAATACATAGACAAAACCTTAAACCGCCAATATCAAACAGTTCTCCACGTACAGCAAACACCACCCACCTGAAACCATGATACACATAGATCAATACATAGATAAAACCTTAAACCGCCACTCTTAAAACAGTCCATCATATCGTCAACCTCCTAATACATCACAGAATACTACAAATCATGATATTTTCACTTTCAGATTTCCTAAATGGTACATACTTTGATTCTATTCATAATAACAATAGGTAGAAGAGCCTTACTTGTCGGTCACGACGAGGACATGTTTGCTGTCGCGACTGAGGACGAGGTGAGCGACATAGTGATCTGTGGTGAAGTACTTCCCCTTCTCCGTCTCCTGGGAACACAAAACATATAATTATACCTTATTCATACTTCTCCGTCTCCTGGGGACACAAAACATATCATTATACCTCATTCATACTTCTCCGTCTCCTGGAGACACAAAACATATCATTATACCTCATTCATACTTCTGCGTCTCCTGGGGACACAAAACATATAATTATACCTCATTCATACTTTTCCGTCTCCTGGGGACACAAAACATATCATTATTCCTCATTCATACTTCTCCGTCTCCTGGAGACACAAAACATATCATTATACCTCATTCATACTTCTCCATCTCCTGGGGACACAAAACATATAGTTATACCTCATCCATACTTCTCCGTCTCCTGGGGACACAAAACATATCGTTATACCTCATTCATACTTCTCCATCTCCTGGGGACACAAAACATATAGTTATACCTCATTCATTCTTCTCCATCTCCTGGGGACACAAAACATATAATTATCCCTCATTCATACTTCTCCGTCTCCTGGGGACACAAGACATATCATTATACCTCATTCATACTTCTCCGTCTCCTGGAGACACAAAACATATCATTATACCTTATTCATACTTCTGCGTCTCCTGGGGACACAAAACATATAATTATACCTCATCCATACTTCTCCGTCTCCTGGGGACACAAAACATATCATTATACCTAATTCATACTTCTCCGTCTCCTGGGGACACAAAACATATCATTATTCCTCATTCATTCTTCTCCGTCTCCTGGAGACACAAAACATATCATTATACCACATTCATACTTCTGCGTCTCCTGGGGACACAAAACATATAATTATACATCATTCATACTTCTCCGTCTCCTGGGGACACAAGACATATCATTATACCTCATTCATACTTCTCCGTATCCTGGGGACACAAAACATATAATTATACCTCATCCATACTTCTCCGTCTCCTGGGGACACAAAACATATCATTATCCCTCATTCATACTTCTCCGTCTCCTCGAGACACAAAACATATCATTATACCTCATTCATACTTCTGCGTCTCCTGGGGACACAAAACATATAATTATACCTCATCCATACTTCTCCGTCTCCTGGGGACACAAAACATATAGGTATACCTCATCCATACTTCTCCGTCTCCTGGGGACACAAAACATATCATTATTCCTCATTCATTCTTCTCCGTCTCCTGGAGACACAAAACATATCATTATACCACATTCATACTTCTGCGTCTCCTGGGGACACAAAACATATAATTATACCTCATTCATACTTCTCCGTCTCCTGGGGACACAAAACACATAATTATACCTCATTCATACTTCTCTGTCTCCTGGGGACACAAAACATATAATTATACCTCATTCATACTTCTCTGTCTCCTGGGGACACAAAACATATAAGTATACCTCATTCATACTTCTCCGTGTGAAATGTGACAGACAGGCCTAAATCACTATTCCCCATTTTATTCGAAAAGCCGAGGACACATAGGGACAACTATCTACAGCTTACGCTAAGAATGGCATAGCCTTCCGATTCCTGCTTGTTGTAAGGACGAATAACCCTGTCACTATGGAAACGTCTTGGTGGCCTTATTCGGCGGATTTCTTCTGAAAAATCAGCAATCCTGAAAAAGAATAAGCTTGATGATACTAATTCCCCATCATGCAGTAGATCTCTAAGTTTTAGCATACATTTTGATGACTGAAGTCCTTATTCATCTTTTAATTCCCACACTTATTTTTAGAATTATTTTGGTTTTTACCAACTATATCTAAAAATTCCAAAGAGATCATGAAATACATAAAATGAACTGTTGGACTCAGTGAAATATTGTTTTACATCCAAACAGTACCTTTTGATGCCCTCAAGTGAACTGCTGGCGAAGTCAATTACTCCACTGGTGGGCCTTGTGACCACGCCCACCAATCCCTTCCCCACACCTACAAGGGAGGTAAATCACACAGTCATTAGTTATAAGTCAATTACTCCACTGGTGGGCCTTGTGACCATGCCCACCAATCCCTTCCCCACACCTACAAGGGAGGTAATTCACATGGTCATTAGTTATAAGTCAATTACTCCACTGGTGGGTCTTGTGACCACGCCCACCAATCCCTTCCCCACACCTACAAGGGAGGTTATACACATGGTCATAAGTTATAAGTCAATTACTCCACTGCTGGGCCTTGTGACCACGCCCACCAATCCCTTCCCCACACCTACAAGGAAGGTAATTCACATGGTCATTAGTTATAAGTTAATTACTCCACTGGTGGGCCTTGTGACCACGCCCACCAATCCCTTCCCCACACCTACAAGGGAGGTAATTCACACAGTCATTAGTTATAAGTCAATTACTCCACTGGTGGGCCTTGTGACCACGCCCAACAATCCCTTCCCCACACCTACAAGGGAGGTAATTCACACAGTCATTAGTTATAAGTCAATTACTCCACTGGTGGGCCTTGTGACCACGCCCAACAGTCCCTTCCCCACACCTACAAGGGAGGTAATTCACACAGTCATTAGTTATAAGTCAATTACTCCACTGGTGGGCCTTGTGACCACGCCCAACAGTCCCTTCCCCACACCTACAAGGGAGGTAATTCACACAGTCATTAGTTATAAGTCAATTACTCCACTGGTGGGCCTTGTGACCACGCCCAACAGTCCCTTCCCCACACCTACAAGGGAGGTAATTCACACAGTCATTAGTTATAAGTCAATTACTCCACTGGTGGGCCTTGTGACCACGCCCAACAGTCCCTTCCCCACACCTACAAGGGAGGTAATTCACACAGTCATTAGTTATAAGTCAATTACTCCACTGGTGGGCCTTGTGACCACGCCCAACAGTCCCTTCCCCACACCTACAAGGGAGGTAATTCACACAGTCATTAGTTATAAGTCAATTACTCCACTGGTGGGCCTTGTGACCACGCCCAACAGTCCCTTCCCCACACCTACAAGGGAGGTAATTCACACAGTCATTAGTTATAAGTCAATTACTCCACTGGTGGGCCTTGTGACCACGCCCAACAGTCCCTTCCCCACACCTACAAGGGAGGTAATTCACACAGTCATTAGTTATAAGTCAATTACTCCACTGGTGGGCCTTGTGACCACGCCCAACAGTCCCTTCCCCACACCTACAAGGGAGGTTGTTCACATTGTCATTAGTTATAAGTCAATTACTCCACTGGTGGGCCTTAAATTGTGACCATGCCCAACAGTCCCTTCACCACACCTACAAGGGAGGTTATTCACATTGTCATTAGTTATAAGTCAATTACTCCACTGGTGGGCCTTGTGACCACGCTCACCAATACCTTCCCCACACCTACAAGGGAGGTTATTCACATGGTACAATATGTTAAGTTCAATAAAACCAAATGACATTGTCATACCGACACTGATAATGTCCAACATGTTCCTGGAGTATGATGTGGAATTCTTAAACAGTTTTCAAGACAAGAAATGTTCTGGAAATGCTTAGATATACCTTAACCCTTTCACCACTGTAGACCAAAATGGACTCACCAAGATTAATGTATGGTAGATTCTATTAAAGTTACCGAGGGGTGAAATGGTTAAACTGCTTATGGTTTACATAAGACCGCCAAATACAGGCACACCATAATACTCAGGTACATATATATATACAGAGTTAACAGTGTACTAAGCTATAATAGTATTGATATCGTAAATACATTTCGGAGAAATACTACAGAAATGACAATCCAACACAAATCAACCAAACAAACATCTGGAACTTCACATACAAACGTAGAATTTTCAAATATGATATCCAAAATTTCATAAATTTTGTTCAAGGTAATTTCAATTTAACCATATTTATGCGATAATAAGCCCATGCATTATAAAGAGCCGACCATTGTCTATTACAGTTCAGTAGAAATGTCAACAAGTTTCATTGTCCTGTGATAAGCCCCCCCCCCCCCCCCCCCCCCCCCCCCCTTCCCTACTTTGAGTTAGAGAACGTCACAATTCACAGTTCCTTCTATTCCTTTTATAAATCATTTATTTTAACCTTCAGTTTATTTTTTACCTTTAAAGAATCCCCCGACTCCTTCGTTCTTGGCTCCTTCTATCGGCTTCCTTACAATGCCTGTCACACCATCAAACACGCCCTGGTAGTAAAATATAGAATACAAATTATTACAAAATCAAAATCATTTACGTTTTTTTAATTTTTACAGAACAAGAAATCCCCTAGGCGGCCACCATTGTACTGTACTTAGGTCCTTTGTACGATTATCATTTCTCTTATCTGATTGGTTGAGTCATGTACATGCACACTGTAAATACACCTTGTGGTAACATCTGATCAAAGCTTCATACTGCTCTGTATGAGAGTGTACTTTCAAAGTGAGGTTGTTTGAACTATGAACTAGAACAGTACTTAATGTATAACAAGGGGAACTTATATCTGAAGTTGAGAAAGATCTGCCTGGTTTTTCTTGGGAAATAGTGATAACGAACTGGAACTATCAAAACAAAGATGGCTGCTTGTCAATCATTTTATTGTTCTGATCAGCCTTAAAATGAAACATGCACAACTTAGAACCTACATTATGTATGTAGCTCAACATATCAAATTTGATAAAGATCTGTCTGGTACTTCTTGACAAAAAGTGATAACAAAATTTAACTATAAACATTGAAGATGGCTGTCTAGTGGCCATCCACAATGGCAGACCATTGGGAAACCTACAAGTGAAATTCGAGTTCCCTCCAGTACTTTTTTTAAAAATTTGTGCTAAACAGAACTGCTTTAGGACCTAGACCCATGGACTACAGACAGTAGACCTCAGATGAAAGGCGGTTTGAACAGCCCACCATTTGATGATTGTGGGCTATACATTTATACTGTTTTGGGGAATCGTTTATTTTCTTGATACTTTCCCCCTTTTTGTTAAGTTCCCAATTTTGCCATATGGGAAATTTCTTGTCATTTAAGTAAAACAGGGTGAAGTTTGTGTATCAGAGTGACCTCCCTTTACATGTGTCAGAGTGACCTGCCTTAACGTTTGTCAGAGTGACCTCCCTTTACGTGTGTCAGAGCGACCTCCCTTTATGTGTGTCAGAGTGACCTCCCTTTACGTGTGTCAGAGTGACCTCCCTTTCGTGTGTCAGAGTGACCTCCCTTTTGTGTGTCAGAGTGACCTCCCTTTATGTGTGTCAGAGTGACCTCTCCCTTTATGTGTGTCAAATTAACCTCCCTTTATGTGTGTCAGAGTGACCTCCCTTTATGTGTGTCAGAGTGACCTCCCTTTACGTGTGTCAGAGTGACCTCCCTTTACGTGTGTCAGAGTGACCTCCCTTTCCATGTGTCAGAATGACCTCCCCTTACGTGTGTCAGAGTGACCTTCCTTTACGTGTGTCAGAGTGACCTCCCTTTACGTGTGTCAGAGTGACCTCCCTTTCCATGTGTCAGAGTGACCTTCCCTTACGTGTGCCAGAGTGACCTCCCCTTACGTGTGCCAGAGTGACCTCCCCTTACGTGTGTCAGAGTGACCTCCCGTGTCCTTACCATGACGAGGCCCTTGCCTCCTCGAGCTAAACCTTCCCTCACGTTTGCCGGACGTTTGTTCATGGCTTCTCGTCTCTTCTTCTGGTAGTCATCATCCAAGGTCAAGGCAGCGAAACCCTTTCCCAGAGTTCCCGTTATCCTGGACACGGCACCAGCAGCTCCACCTGGTGAGGGCAGCAGACATTAACACATAACATGTACATTTTGTACATACACATCATTGTAAACATTGTGTCGATGATAATTATTCATCCAGAGATTGTGTGATAAATAATATAGATAAATTATTGTTATAACAAGAAGCAGAGGAGGTTTGCCATATGGACACTGTTTTAACGATTTCCTAGTTGATAAGACAATTCCCAGCCAGACGACTTAAGTAGGACTTTGCTTTAAGGAAGAATTCCCAATAAACATTGGATGATAAGATGAAGATTATAACAAGACCTGATCATCTGTGACCTTGACCTTAATGCCTACTTACCAACAGCATGTCCAAACAAGCTCCTCACTCCAAGGGCAAGACCTTCCGCAAACTCCTCCGGACCCTGGATAGCTCCCTAAACACCAAAGACCATGGAATCAGGAACTTAATTTTGCAAATATTTATATCCAAATTTGTGCTTAATAATGATGTTTATACAGGTTTTATTTTCATAATAAAATAACTATATAGCTATCCTATTACTGTATGATGATCACATTGAAAATATAATAATGCTTTGTAATGTATAACTTACAATCATGTCTAATTTATATCCATCATATTCACTGTAAAAGAATTACCTTGACCCAATAACATACCTGGTATGGTTCACTGTACAATAAATATCTCGACCCAATTACATACCTGGTATGGTTCACTGTACAATAAATATCTCGACCCAGTAACATACCTGGTATGGTTCACTGTACAATAAATATCTTGACCCAATAACATACCTGGTATGGTTCACTGTACAATAAATATCTTGACCCAATAACATACCTGGTATGGTTCACTGTACAATAAATATCTTGACCCAATAACATACCTGGTATGGTTCACTGTACAATAAATATCTTGACCCAATAACATACCTGGTATGGTTCACTGTACAATAAATATCTTGACCCAATAACATACCTGGTATGGTTCACTGTACAATAAATATCTTGACCCAATAACATACCTGGTATGGTTCACTGTACAATAAATATCTTGACCCAATAACATACCTGGTATGGTTCACTGTACAATAAATATCTTGACCCAATAACATACCTGGTATGGTTCACTGTACAATAAATATCTTGACCCAATAACATACCTGGTATGGTTCACTGTACAATAAATATCTTGACCCAATAACATACCTGGTATGGTTCACTGTACAATAAATATCTTGACCCAATAACATACCTGGTATGGTTCACTGTACAATAAATATCTTGACCCAATAACATACCTGGTATGGTTCACTGTACAATAAATATCTTGACCCAATAACATACCTGGTATGGTTCACTGTACAATAAATATCTCGACCCAATAACATACCTGGTATGGTTCACTGTACAATAAATATCTTGACCCAATAACAAACCTGGTATGATTCACTGTACAATAAATATCTTGACCCAATAACATACCTGGTATGGTTCGTAGAACAGATCTTCTATACCCTCTGCCACCCCACGCAGAAGTCCAAACGGATTTCCCAACACGTCGAGTCCCAGCACCAGCACATACATCTGTTTAATGGCCTAGAAGACAACACAAATTATAGCACGGACCAATGTCACACAGCACATACATCTGTTTAATGGCCTAGAAGACAACACAAATTATGGCACGGACCAATGTCACAATATAAAAGCATCAATTTCTATCAAATTTCTGCACCAAATATGTGTTAAAGATACCAATTTCTGCAGACATGCCTTGGAGTTTAAAATATACGTTGACCATCTTCGAAACCCAAGTGTTCTGCTCTTGACACACCATTGGAATACATCATGTCAAATCTAAGGCCCATTCAGAGCCATTATTTTTGTCATGACATATTACAATGGTGTAGAGAAGTTATGTGTGTCAAGAACAGAACTCTGAATCAATACCAGTCATTATCAACTAAAAAGTGGTAGAACTAATGAGCATCATCAAACACTTTTCTGATATGTTGTCATTCCTACCTGGCCTGCATAGTGTTTGGTCATCTGGCCCAATAGCTGTGATTGGTTGTAGAAACAGTGCTCCTTCTGGAAGTAGCCGAGTCTGTAACAGAAGTACACATAGCTGTACTTACGACTCGAGTCTGTAACAGAAGTACACATAGCTGTACTTACCACTCTAATCCTGATCCTGTCTATGTATCACCAGTGTCAGGTGTAAACAAGGTATTCATTACACCAGTGTGAGGTGTAAACAAGGCATTCATTACACCAGTGTTAGGTGTAAACAAGGGATTCATTACACCAGTGTGAGGTGTAAACAAGGGATTCATTACACCAGTGTCAGGTGTAAACAAGGGATTCATTACACCAGTGTCAGGTGTAAACAAGGGATTCATTACACCAGTGTCAGGTGTAAACAAGGGATTCATTACACCAGTGTCAGGTGTAAACAAGGGATTCATTACACCAGTGTCAGGTGTAAACAAGGGATTCATTACACCAGTGTCAGGTGTAAACAAGGGATTCATTACACCAGTGTCAGGTGTAAACAAGGGATTCATTACACCAGTGTCAGGTGTAAACAAGGGATTCATTACACCAGTGTCAGGTGTAAACAAGGGATTCATTACACCAGTGTCAGGTGTAAACAAGGGATTCATTACACCAGTGTCAGGTGTAAACAAGGGATTCATAATGAATGGGGTTTTATACAATCAATGTCTTTATAGTTCCAAATAATTTCTAATAGAGAAAGATTGAACACCAATATTTCATCTTATTTATTGAGTTATCTTCCTTGAGGATATAATACAAGTTGTTTTCCAATGTCAAAATGGAACTCTCGATCACACAGGTTGAATGAATAAACCTGAAGTTGCAGATGCAGTTATTATGTTAACTTCTTGGTTAATAGTGACTTTCGTTTACACTTGAAAACATAAGGCAGACAACTGCTACCTCATTCAACTGCTGAATTTCATTACAGAATATTTATTAAATCAAATGCTTCAATGGGAATTGGGCAACAGGCTATACAAGCCCTCTCTACATACATTTCAAACAATAACATAATTATAATTTAGACATTAACATATTAGCACTGGCTTGGAACATTAAATAATATTTAATACTTAATAGTCTCTATCTATCTCTGAACTAAGCAAAAGTAAACATTTAAAAAATTAAAATTACTGACGTAAAACAAATACAGTTGTTTTTTTTTGTTGTTATTTTTTCTTTACATGGTAACCAGTATAATATATCATATAAAATATATTTCAAAATGGAAAGCCATGTGTGTATACTGCATTTGTAAATAATCAAATTTTATAAATTTTACAACATATATTAAAAACTGGACCCTCCATTCAATACAGTAAATATTAAATATTATTAGTTGAATAATTTGTAACACCAACAAGTCCTCCATCACCACTCCTTCTCCAGATAACAATAATAACTGGGCAGCACTAAAATGTCCATACACACCACCACTGTGTGCTTACCCAGTCATTGACAATCCAGAGCAGGAGCCGTGTTGAAGGAGTAATCATATAGACATACACAAACACATTGGGACTAGAATTAACAGTTATTTCAAAATCTGTTAGTAGACTCAATATATTTCTGAACACAGACACAAATAGCAGAATTAGGATCATGACTAAGGTGGTTACTTCCCCTAGTTAGTATATTGATATTATTTACTAAATGTTCAATCAGGTTTAAGTCAAGATTTAAATGTAGGTTAAGTTAAATGTTGAGCTGCAAATGAGACAGAGAAACTAATAGGTTTTGTCTTTGGATTATGTACCTAGGGCAGTATAGAAAGAAGTGATCCACATCTTCGTCATGATTGCCACATATACAGGATGGGCTATTAATTAGTCTAAGTTGACATAAAATGACGTTAAAAGATCTAGTCCCTCCATATTTAAAAGCATTTGTACATGTATCCTCAGCATTAGAAAGAATGGCATGATGGACGAGTTGCTTTTTAAGTTCACTAACTGACCTCAAATTATAATAATTACAATTGGATCTATTCCACCGACATCATACTAGGAAAGAAACTGTTAAAATATATACTAGTTCTGCAAATCAGTGTTTGAAATATACATTGATGTCGAATATCATGAGTCACTAAGTCATTGTTTATAATATAAGGTTCAATGTTTTCAAACAGATAATTAGGGGTATGACGGTTTGTTATTTTAAAAAATAGCATATGTTGCTGGTCATTTCTGCGTTTCTGAAGTGTATCCCATTCTAGTTCATTATGAATGACAGCATGACTAGTACCCCTACCTAATCCAGTAACTATTCTAGCAGCATCTAGTTGGATGGATTCAAGAAGACCGGATTCTCTCTGATTACAATTATTCCACAAAACACTCGCATACTCAAGGTTTGGACGAATAAAAGATTTATATATTAATATATTCTAAAGATTTCCTGTCGAGCCTTTACTTTTTTAAGTGATCTGAACAGATTCATTGTTTTATATGTTTTTTCATAAATAAAATTGATGTGGTCTGACCATGAACCATGACAATTAAGAAAAACTCCAAGATGTTTATGCTTTTTTTACGTTTGCCACAATGTTGTTAATGAATATAAGGTCAGGATGTAGTCCATCAGTATTATGTTTGTTTGAAATTAGTAGGGATTCTGTTTTGTTGGGATTAAAAAGTATACCCCATCTATTTGCCCACATAGCTATTCTATTTAGATCATTATTTAAAATTTCAGCAGCAGCTATTTTATTATTATATGTTAGCACAAATAATGAAGTATCATCAGCAAAAAATTTGACATTAGACTGAATTTCATTTTCTAAGTCATTAATATAAATAAGAAATAAATATGGACCGATGACCGAGCCCTGTGGTACCCCAGCTGATAAAGTCTTCCAGGAAGATTGAAATCCATCAATTACTACATGTTGCTGCCTATCAATTAAGTAATTAGAGAGCCAGTTAAGCACATTATCTTTAATGCCATACTTTTTAAATTTATATACAAGTCCATCATGCCAAACCCTGTCAAATGCTTTACTAATATCGCACAAAACTAGTCTTGCTTCTTTTCTTCTATCAAGTTGTCTAAGTATTGTATCATATACTGTTAATAGCTGCTTCACTGTAGAGTCTTTAGGGAGAAATCCAAATTGATTTTTAGAAATTATATTGTTTGTTGACAGATAATTGAATAGATATTTAAAAACTATCTTTTCAAGCATTTTACTAAATACTGGTGTGATAGAAAGAGGTCTGTAATTAGATGGATCACTCCTCACCCCCTTGCCCTTGAAAATAGCAGTAACATTAGCATTTTTTGAGATTTGAGGTAAATAGCCAGATTCCAGAGATTTTTTAACTGCTGAATGACTGTAAACATAAATAATGTGAACAATTGCTTAGTAAATTTCATACATTGATAATAAAAGGGAGACAACTGTTAATCTTTTTCCAGTGTTAAATATAAGGGAGACAATTACTGCCTTTCTCTAAACTAATATAAGGGAGACAACTTTGATATTAATTCTCACAATATAAGGGAAACAACTACTGCCTTTCTCTAAACTAATGTAAGGGAGACAACTGCTGCCTTTCTCTAAACTAATATCTATTATGGAGACAACTACTGCCTTTCTCTAAACTAATGTAAGGGAGACAACTGCTGACATACTTGAAGACAACATCCTGTACATCGGTGAGTACGACGCCAACACTCTGGAGGAAAATATTGATGACATTGGCGTGGATCTGTGTCGGTTTGCCGTCCCCGCCCCCTCCTTGCAGGGAGAAACTCAAGTGGATCTGTCAACCAAGTAAAACACAAGTTACTTCGTACATCTAGTAAACAAACATGTGTTACTTACTATAAAAGGCATTACAACAATCAAACACATACATATTTTTTAGAAAAAGGACAATGTGGTAAAACCAATGAAGAGGCAGCACATTTCAGAAGTAGGTTAATTTATGAAAACAGACAAACATATCACTAAGTGACCATTAATGACAATGTTACAGAGTGGGAACAGTTAGATGAGAACACATTTTAACTTTATTCATTGGGAGTGAATTAATGAACGTAAACATACAGCTTGCAATAATTGAAAAAAACTTGAATTGATATTAAATTGTAAAATGAATGTACCCAAATAACTTTGTTTAATCCTTACATCACTATGTTACTTAAGTAGACTCTACCATGCATTGATCTGGATGTGTCCATTATGGTCTACAGTGGTGAAAGGGTTAAGATGAGGTTTATTACTGTTTAACATACTTGTTTCCTTGTAATATTAGATGTTTAATACACATTAAATACTTCCATGTGATAATTACAGTACATTTCACCTAATATCACGTCTGTTAATGTCACTTTTCGGTTACTATCATGTTTTTTTGATGCTATATAATCTTTTATAATCAATTCTTTTATTATCACCTGATTTTATGTTGATTTCTCTTAATATCACTTTATATTGGTCACTGTCACAAAAAAAATACAGGTAAATAGTGGTAATGATTCATGATAAATGCCCTGGGGACCTTCTGTCACACCCTGGACGCATTCCTTGGCCTAACTGTATTTTTTACACCTGGCTGACTGTCAAACAATAGATTACACCTGGCTGACTGTTAAACAATAGGTTGACTTACATACTTGTTAACATGATATTCACCTGCGGTTGGGGGAGCTAGGACAGTCTAACATCTGTAAACTTTTCTAATGCCAAGTGTGATGTATTCTTTCAACCAATTATAACATGTGTACGATCTTCGATTACACACTTGCAGCAAATATCTAAGGAAATTAACCTATAAAAATATGTTACTAGCGAAAGAACAGTATATATATCAAGATATAGGTAAATATTTACCAAGTCTCATGTTTACAATTGAATTTGATGCAGAATACCAGCCAAACACTTGTATGCCTACATCACTACTGCAGTAAACAATCATAATTACAATCGTACTGATCGTCATTTTGCTACTAACTATATGAAATGTAACTGCATACTGAAATGAAACACAAATAATATATTTATTTCTATACTTATTTACTTATATCTATATTTCAACTAGGGTAAAGAACAAGGTTAGTTACAAAATATCAATCTTCTTCGTAGAGCCACATCACTTAGACATTTGACTAAGTTCACTTCCGGTTTCGAGGGCTGAAAAACATCAGAAAATATGTATTCTGTTTAGGTCATGTTTCTGTTAACATCATGTTTTTCTCTGACAAATGGGAAGTGATATTAAGAGAAATCTACTGTATTACCTTAATTGGTGAGAAGTGAAGATAGTCGTAGAAGTTCTTCTGCTCATCAGCCAAAGACAGGCCAACTTCGTCCATCAACTTGACCTTGACCTTTTCACAATCCACCAGGAAAAGGGCAGTCTACAAAAGGCAAGTTATAGTAACTGTACAATACAGCTAGTCTATATATTATGGCTATATCCTGTAATATCCATTCAGAAAGCTTGTTATATAGGCATGTCCAATGAGAGTGTATGTACCAGATACACAGTAACACCGGAATGGCTGTTACAAAGTGACATAAAACTGACCAATGAGTGAGTACGTACCTCCTGTTCCCGAGAGACGTCCTGGCTGGAGGAGAACAGATCAATGATGTTGTTAAGGAATCCCTGGTCAACCTTCAGTTGCATCTCCTGGATGAGGACTTTAAAATATCTGTGTGAAAGATGGAACAATTAAGTCTAAATATAAAATATCTGTGTGAAAAATGGGACAATTAAGTCTATATATAAAATATCTGTGTGAAAGATGGTACAATTAAGTCTATATATTCCTCTCCACAGTTAGTAAAAGAGAATTTAAGCTCCAAATAAGATATATAAATGAAATTCATATAGTATGTCATATTGTAGCATTCAGGTCATGAAAGAGATTGACATGTTATACTGCCAGTTATACTGCCAGTTATACTGCCAGTGTAATACTGCCAGTTATACTGCCAGTGTTATACTGCCAGTTATACTGGCAATGTTATACTGCCAGTGTTATACTGCCAGTATTATACTGCCAGTGTTACTGCCAGTATTATATTGCCAGTGTTACTGCCAGTGTTACTACCAGTGTTATACTACCAGTTATACTGCCAGTGTTACTACCAGTGTTATACTACCAGTTATTCTGTCAGTTATACTGCGAGTGTTATACTGCCGGTTATACTGTCAGTTACACTGCCAGTGTTATACTCTCAGTTATACTACCTGTTATACTGTCAGTTATACTACCAGTTTTATACTGCCAGTGTTTCTGCCAGTGTTACTTCCAGTTATACTGCTAGTGTTATACTGCCGGGGGTCTGCAGTTATACTGCCAGCTATACTGCCAGTTATGCTGCCAGTGTGATACTCCCAGTATTATACTGCAGGTGTTACTGCCAGTGTTTCTGCCAGTATTATATTGCCGGTGTTACTGCCAGTATTATTTTGCCAGTTTTACTGCCAGTATTATTCTGCCAGTGTTACTTCCAGTTATACTGCCAGTTTTATACTGCCGGGGTTCTGCGGTTATACTGCCAGTGTTCCTGCCAGTATTATATTGCCGGTGTTACTGCCAGTGTGATTCTGCCAGTATTATATTGCCGGTGTTACTGCCAGTGTTTCTGCCAGTGTTACTAGCAGTGTTATACTACCTGTTATACTGTCAGTTATTCTGCCAGTGTGATACAGCCAGTATTATACTGCAGGTGTTACTGCCAGTGTTTCTGCCAGTGTTATACTTCCGGGGTTCTGCAGTTTTTCTGCCAGTTATACTACCAGTGATTCTGTCAGTTATACTGGAAATGTTATTCTGCTAGTGTTATACTGCCAGTGTTATACTGCCAGTTATACTGCCAGTGTTATACTGCCGGGGTTCTGCAGTTATACTGCCAGTTATACTGCCAGTGTGATACTGCCAGTATTATACTGCCAGTGTTACTGCCAGTGTTACTGCCAGTGTTATACTGCCAGTTATACTGCCAGTGTTACTGCCAGTGTTATACTGCCAGTATTATACTGCCAGTGTTATACTGCCAGTGCAGTTTTTATTTAGACTAGCATTTGATTAACTATAAAGTACTACTACCATTGATAACAAAAGTTCAAGATCAATAAACCTGAATCAAATATATGAATTTACATATATACTTAAATGGGGTCTTTAAATATGACTTATAAAGGGATTGAAATTTACAATGATCATCTTATAATAGGCATGTCGAACCCTATATAAGATTAAATGGGTTCAGACAAGATTTAGAGTAGATTTGTCCGGAGTTGAAATTTACTGGTCCATAAATTATCAGACATAATCAGGTACACTTCAGTGAATACACTTTTAACAGAAATCAAACTATTTTCCTGTCCATTGTAATTAAGTAGTATGCTGTGTATAAAGTAAAATTCAACCTAATATGTGCGCTGCAATTCAGAATGTTTTTATGTTGATTGCGGAACCTTTGTAACTTCTTGACACTTATAAACACACCATAACAGACATTCAACTAAGTTGGTAAATAATGCTGAGGGATAGAAGACTCTGAACTAAATAAATAATACAGGGCATTATAACAGATAGGCCACTTAAGATATTAATGCATTATGTAAATTTTCATAGAAACAGTTTTTTTCCTGCCCACACAACTTTCATCTTCCTGGTGGAGTATATACAGTCTGGGATGGGTACTACAGCGTCTATCCTGTAGTAATCAATGGAGGTGGTTCTATGGGAAAGTATGCCATTGGAATCACAGCCCCACCATAAAACAGAACACATACCAATACACCTCCAGCACACACACTGCCATGCACATGTGGAGGTATTAACAAGGTGGCTTAGGAACACTCGCTACAGAGCCTGACAAGGCAGCTCCTACAAGGTCCTCAGGTTCTATTTAACGATTGTGTGAATCGAAATTTGTGCATCGTAAATCACCGACAAGTGGCTAATTCTAGCTAGATATGGCACTTGATTAAATGTAGTTAAATATCAACATAGGTAATTAAAAATTTAAAAGGCCAACATTTCATGGTATACAATATATAAAAATCAAAGAAAATTGACTTACTTAAATTGTAGCATGTTGTCATGTTCGTGTTTTCTTAACATGACACTGACTTCTGTGAAAGGCTTCGGTACTGAAATGCAGTAATACAACATTACACCACTAACATGACAAGGAATGTCTAATGAAAATATTTTATATACATTATGTAATTATAACTTATTCCTAGAAGACGTACAGAACATTTCAAAAACAAATGAATGCTGAGGCAATTGTTAAAGTTATGCAAAATGTTCTTTGACATAAATGTATAACGCTGATTTGTATGCCTCTTTCTATCTATAACAAGTTCTATTATTTATGTGTTATAAAGCACTTTAGAATAATTTTACAAATTATATCGGGCGCTATAAATGTAAATTATCACTATTTGTGATACTTCACATCCAACAATTTAACATTGTAATATTAGCCCAGAAATAGTTATCTTACCACTGTCTGCGGCCACAGACTTGGGTAAAGGTACCGGTGACAGGACGGTCGGGAACACAGCTCCGGTCATCTGGTTGTCAAGCTGAAGTAACAAATATATCATGTGTTAGGGTTAGGGTTAGGGAGTTTAACCAATGACGGATCAGACAATTCAAATTACAAAAGATAATTACTTTATTTAAACATGACCTGTATGGGACTTAATTATGCAGACCTTACCTTAAGGCTATATGCTACTTTACCTGAGGTCTATAAGTTGCCTTAGTGTTATCTCCCTTAATAGTTATATTCAGGATTATTATCTCTATAGTGATAACGGTAACCTTGGCCTTGACTATTAAGTTTGGTTTTAATCTGTTAGGGTTACTCTGTTGACCACACCATGGAGACTTTACCTGGAGTCTGTTGATTTTAGCGTGAAGCTGGATCTGGTGAGGTGAGGTTTTGTACTGGAGCCAGATCCCCTCCTGGAAACTCCGTCGGATCCCACGATTGTTTGGACGGAACATCCTCATCTCATTGAAGTCAACCTAGAAACAAAAGTTTGATCAGGAGTTCACAAGGAGGATGCTCATATCAACAGTGGTAAGTAGTGTCTATATCCAGACTTGTTAGTCATGTAGGAAGATCTGCGCAGTATATAAGCCACTTCTATCCCACAATTAACGATTTATATAAACCAGATGTATCCCACAATTAGCTATTTATATAAACCACTTCTATCCCACAATTAGCTATTTATATAAACCAGTTGTATCCCACAATTAGCTATTAATATAAACCAGTTGTATCCCACAATTAGCTATTTGTATAAACCAGTTGTATCCCACAATTAGCTATTTATTAAGCCACTTCTATCCCACAATTAACTATTTATATAAACCAGATGTATCCCACAATTAGCTATTTATATAAACCAGTTGTATCCCACAATTAGCTAGTTATTAAGCCACTTCTATCCCACAATTATCTATTTATATAAACCAGTTGTATCCCACAATTAGATATTTATATAAGCCACTTCTATCCCACAATTAGCTATTTATATAAGCCAGTTGTATCCCACAATTAGCTATTTGTATAAACCAGTTGTATCCCACAATTAGCTATTTATATAAGCCACTTCTATCCCACAATTAGCTATTTATTAAGCCACTTCTATCCCACAATTAGCTATTTATATAAACCAGTTGTATCCCACAATTAGCTATTTATATAAGCCACTTCTATCCCACAATTAGCTATTTATATAAGCCACTTCTATTCTACAATTAGCTATTTATATAAACCAGTTGTATCCCAGGTTTGATTCATACTTTGTATTACAGAATGAAGATTGATACATACCTCCATCTTGTTATCAAGGTTGAGGTGTGGAGGTGGGTTATGCCCAAGTTCAATCTCAGTCAGGTATTTCTGATACGCCTCTTCCAGGACGTGTGCGTTCTTCATACTCAGAGCCTTAAACCTTTTCTTCTTTTCCTCCCATATAACGCCGGAGCTGTAACACAAAGTGTCATCACACTTAAAAAACAACATTTGCCCGTCAGCACGACACAGACACGAAACCATGTCCACCAAAGTTATTAGGACCAAGAGAACAGCGAGCCAGAGTTCTAGTCACCAACTGTAACGCCAAAAAGTTCCTATTTTAAATGACTGACGATAACAGCACAATAACATACATTTGTTGACTGGGTTTGAAGAATATTCCTATGTAAGTACCTCAATATGTTGTGATATTTTTTTTTTAATCAATAAATAGTGTACCAGTATTCAATGTTTAAATCAGTTTTTAATTTATGTATATAATTCAAATGTTGATCTCGCATGATTTAACAGACAGGCAACCAAATGGACACAGGCTGGTGATTCTGAGGAGCGTGACAGTTCTCTGAGAATACACTACCTTGTAATCCCGAGGAAGGCGACCTCGGTCTGACTGAGGTCGTTGATAAGGGACAGCCCCAGGCCTTGGATACAGACGTTGATTTCCTGCTCTATTCTCTCCAGCTCTCCAGCCTAAGGTTCAAAGGTTAAGGTCACAGATTAGTATCAAAAATGATACCAAAAATAACTGTTTTTTCTAAATTTCTTTTTGCTAACATCTTGCAGTGTGTTAAGTATAATAAACTTTGATTGAAACACCAATTATGTTTTTAATAGTAGGTACTATTTTTTTTCTATTTAAGGCTTTTGTCCAGTATGTATGTATATGAATATACCTGGTATAGAAAAGGAAAAGCCAAGAGATTCTGAGCAGCTCCCTAGGGTTTTCACCCCTTCAGACACAACAGATAACGAAATCCCTGATATACCACTAAATAGGTGGTAGTACCAAAGAGCTTCTCAGCATTATTTTCCTTTCTACACATTTACTTTCACAAAAGTTTTGACAGTTTTAAAATTATATAATTATTATAAATATTTAGTTTACACTGATATTCACGCAATAAGCAATGTTCCTGCCAACAGGAGTGATCATCTCATAACCTGATAATATAACGTGACAAGTCTCCATGACAACATTACATGTAGGTGGGGTTTTGCAAATTTTCCACGAACGAGACAAAACTGTGTGATGTCATCATTAGTACGTGTTGGCAGAGTTAATCAAAGCTTATGTGAATTTCAAACTTTTATTGAACCTATCACATGTTAATATATTTTGAAGAGGAAGTTTGTGTCCACTGATCAGACTAACGAATAAAAGAGTTATGAACCATTCACAGACAATACTGTAAATGTAAGGAAAAGTGTTCTATTTCTGTCTGGTTATGAGGTGATAGCTCCAGTTCAGCATAAGTAAATTAATCGTGACCTTAATTAAACCTGTTTATTGTCATAGTAAAAACATTGTACCTTCTTACATATACTTGCTATATAACTTCTATACTTAGGTACAGTACACTAATAACCCCATCATGGGGGGGGGGGTGTCATTTATATAGCGAGTGACCCATGGATGACCGGTTTCTGATAGATATACACAGCTCCCATGTGTGATACCATGTTAATCATTTCACCCCTATGTAACTTTAGTAGACTCTACCATGCCTTGATCTGGATGAGTCCATTATTGTCTACAGTGGTGAAAGGCTGAAGCACTGATTGGCTGCATTACAGTAACCACCATTGGTCAAGCAAATTAGCCATGAATAATTAATTAATTAATGAGCTGTCCGAGACGAGGTTAGGGTCACCTAGCATTGTTTCAAAACATTATCAATGAGTAATTAGGATGTAATTCATTGAAACTTCTTACCGTCCTTCAACCTCCACCCAACTTCTTTATGTTCGTACTCTATCTGTACCATTACTTCAGTATATGCCGGACAGCTATATCCGCCCTGATGATAAGGCTAATATATACAGGGATAGATTTACATTTAGTCCGTTTAAACAACAAGACATTAGACCAGAGGCACTAGCAGTATTTATAGATTCAGAATAGCTTGTAGCGATCATGCTGAAAGAGCGCATCCATATTCCGAGAAAACAGGCTATATCAATGTAGTTGTAGAAAACATACTTCACAGCACATGTACATAGACCTGAATAGTGTTGTGAGGGGCAGCCTTATGGATTTGTTTCCCATTCATAGTATACAGAGACAGAGACATAGTAAACAGAGACAGAGACATAATATACAGAGAGACAGACATAGTATACAGAGACAGAGATATAGTATACCGAGACATAGTATACAGAGACATAGTATACAAAGAGACATAGTATACAGAGACAGAGACATAGTATACAGAGACAGAGACATAGTATACAGAGACAGAGATATAGTATACAGAGACAGAGACATAGTATACAGAGACATAGTATACAGAGAGACATAGTATACAGAGACAGAGACATAGTATACCGAGACAGAGACATAGTATACAGAGACAGAGACATAGTATACAGAGAGACATAGTATACAGAGACAGAAACATAGTATACAGAGACAGAGATATAGTATACCGAGACATAGTATACAGAGAGACAGAGACATAGTATACAGAGACAGTGACATAGTATACAGAGACAGAGAAATAGTATACAGAGACAGAGACTTAGAGACATAGTATACAGAGAGATAGAGACATAGGATACAGAGACAGAGACAGAGACAAAGGATATAGAGAGACAGAGACATACTATACAGAGACATAGTATACAGCGACAGAGACATAGTATACAGATAGTATACAGAGACAGAGATATAGTATAACGAGACATAGTATACAGAGAGAGAGACAGAGACATAGTTTACAGATAGACAGAGACATAGTATACAGCGACAGAGACATAATATACAGAGACAGAGACATAGTATCCAGAGAGACAGAGACATAGTTTAGAGAGAGACAGAGACATAGTATATAGAGAGACAGAGACATACTATACAGAGACATAGTATACAGCGACAGAGACATAATATACAGAGACAGAGACATAATAGACAGAGACATAGTATACAGCGACAGAGACATAGTATACAGAGATACAGAGACATAGTATACAGCGACAGAGACATAATATACAGAGACTTAGTAGACAGAGACATAGTATACAGGGACAGAGACATAGTAGACAGAGACATAGTATACAGGGACAGAGACATAGTAGACAGAGACAGAGACAGAGACATAGTATACAGGGACAGAGACATAGTAGACAGAGACAGAGACAGAGACAAAGGATATAGAGAGACAGAGACATAGGATACAGAGAGACAGAGACATAGGATACAGAGAGACAGAGACATAATATACAGAGACTTAGTAGACAGAGACATAGTATACAGATAGTATACAGAGACAGAGATATAGTATACCGATACATAGTATACAGAGAGACAGTGACATAGTATACAGAGACAGACACATAGTATACAGAGAGACAGCGACATAGTTTACAGAGAGACAGAGACAAAGTATACAGAGACAGAGATATAGTATACAGAGACAGAGACAGAGTATACAGAGACAGAGACATAATAGACAGAGCCATAGGATACAGAGACATAGTATACAGATACATAGTATACAGAGACAGAGTTTACAGAGACAGAGACATAGTATCCAGAGAGACAGAGACATAGTACACAGAGACATAGTATACAGAGGTATACAGAGAGACAGAGACAGAGACATAATATATAGAGAGACAGAGACATACTATACAGAGACATAGTATACAGCGACAGAGACATAGTATACAGAGAGACAGAGACATAGTATACAGAGAGAGAGACAGAGACATAGTATACAGAGACATAGTATACAGAGACATAGTATACAGAGAGACAGAGACATAGTATACAGAGACAGAGACAGAGACATAGTATATAGAGAGACAGAGACATAGTATACAGAGACATAGTATACAGAGAGACAGAGACATAGTTTACAGAGAGACAGAGACATAGTATACAGAGACATAGTATACAGAGAGACAGAGACATAATATACAGAGACAG